CCTCTTTCTTGGTCTTTGCGTATCAATCCACGTGTCTTCATATCCCAATTGTACACACTCTTTTCATCTTCTGAAGTTCCAACACACTTTATTTCTTTTTCTATCATTTGTCACTCTCAAGCTAGCATTGCAGACTTTGGGATTTGGGGCTTGAATCTCTGCCTGGAATGTAAACCCTCTGAGTGCAGGGCCTGTGCTCCCCTGGTCTTTGCATTCCCAGTGCCTAGCATAGTACCTTGCATATAGTAGATGCTCAATGAATATCCTTTGAATGAATATTAGATGATGCCTTTGAGGTATGACAAAATTTTGAAGAACATATTTAATATTTTTTAAAATTGCTCTCACATTTGCATAGTTTTGTCTTTTCAATTGCTTTTCTAAACACTGTTAATGTCATAAATAATTTACTATTTGGTTGTTTATTATTGCTTATCATCAATTTGCTTATTTTCAGTTGTTATTATTTATTTATTAATTTATTGATGCATAAACCATATCTAGGGCATCATAGCAGGCAACGTCTCCTCACAGAACATCACATTCTGTATTACCAGGGCAACCCCTGGGCTGGAAGGGACAGACATTTTTATTACCACTTTGCAGAAAAACTATAACTTGAAGTCTGAAAGATGAAGCAACTTCTCAAAGTACACAGTTAATTTTTCAGAGGTTGGACTACAAAGCAAGTCTCTCTGTGCTCATGTTAAATGTTAATAAAATATTGATCTTATGGTATTCTATTTCTTTGAAAACTGACGATCTCTTGAAATGATTTATAAAAAATTTCAACCAGAAACCTGACAATATGAACACCCCTTTCTAAGCCATGGCAGATAAGAAAGTACAACCTTACATTCTAATGATATGACACCAATCAGCATGAAAGGAATCACACATGAAACAAAAGCAGGGCCACTGAAAATTTCAAATTGTAAAATTACAAGGGAAAGAAGGGCACCAAGTCTGATCGGGAACTCTTTTTAGAAAGTTTCTTTTCCCAGGATTTAGCATTTCCCAGACAGAAGTTAGCAAATGAACTAAGTGAATTAACATTGATCATTTTATGTAGTTTCTTTAAATACTCTTGGCTCTTTGTAGGAACCGGCCACACCTCATACGTTAATTGTGTAATGAGAGAGAATTTCTCTTTCACTTCCTTCTTCCCTTGGTTATCAATTCATTACACCTAATTAAGGTACACATGTTACTATAGAGTTGAGTACCCTTTGATATAGTTCTGTAAACTTTGAGGTCTATCTTAATTTGAGAGAAATCTTATGGCTAAATTGAGAAAAAGGAGGGGGGAGGGAATTAGCAGTTTTGAACTCCTTAAGGGTGAAGGAAAGAACAAAGCAGCATTTATTACAATTTGGTACTTAACATTGCCTACATTTTACCCCTCTGACAGAATTTTAAGGAATAAATAGTAAATACTCAGTGTAGCCAGCTCTGCACTACATCTTTATTTACCTTCATATCCAACATGAACTATTCCCCTGAACATAGAAATGATTGCCTGTAAGGCCCACATATGACAAGAGTTTGCTCCCACTTAAAACTGCTTTGAATTCAGTACTTCAGAGTAACTTCAGATGAATTTTACACTTATGTCTCATTGAATGTAATGAGCCAGAAGTATGAGTTTAATGAGGATAACTTCTTCATGGATGTCATGAGGTAAACAACTCAAAGCATAAAAATTGTATTTTTCAGAAAGATCTGGGGAGACACCGGTGGGACAGAAGAAAAGTGCAAATGGTGTGCCTGGCTAGTGACCCTCTTCCCTGTTCCATCTCAAATGTGCTGAAGCACAGCTGGGGCCAAGGCAGGGGCCCCAAACCTGGCGTGTGAGTGGGTAGAGAGGGAATGCCGGAGGGGGTGAGCCAAGAACTTGACACTTCAAAGCTCTGAATGTCTTAGGTTGGCCTCCATTAGGGATCTCAATATTGGGGTGGCATAAAGATCAGAGTGAAGTTTTGGAAATGCAGACTTTATATATTTGGTTCTCCTGTTTCAAAATTTTGACTTATTCATAAAAAGGTTATAATGTGATCTGTAAAAACACAAACTACATTCATGACTTAGAAACACTTAGAAAACTTAACAGTCCCTTTAAACAGCAGAGACTCCTTATCCTTTACTGTTGAAGATATAAAGTTTTCTCAAGAAATGCTTCGGGAAGTCATAAGGGCACGATCACAGGTTCCTCTCGAAGGAAGCAACAAACTAACTCAGATAAGACCTCAGACAGTGGTGAAGCGGAGCTTTGTTGTTATTTTTCTGTTATGTAGATGCCCCTTCTTGATAAAATATGTGGTCTAAGATGTGGTCTCAGTTTTAGTGAGTTACATGTTCACGCCTTGAGTTTCTCTTGTTTCTTTTAAGGGAATAAATCATTCAACTTTTTTCATTATCTTGCACACTATTGCTGTGAAATGGTAGCCTTTGGCTTCAGGTGGACACAAGCTAATGGCGGATTGATCCATCTGTATTGATACCCATAATAGTTTTATTTTGGTATTCTCTTTCATCTAAGATTTCTCTTTCATCTCAGATTTCAAAGGACTCTGTAAATGTTTCAGTTAAATTTTGTAGCAAACCTCTTAAAAAGAGAAGTAGGAAAAAGTCTAAGCCTTCTTATGTGTAAGCTCCTTGAGGGCATAATTTTCATTATCGGAGTAACTCCAGCTCACTAGACATAGTAATATCTTCAACATTCAATAAATATTTACCATCTACTTTAAAGGTAAAATGTACAAGTGTTCTTCCTACTCCATCTTTAATTATCCCATGCCCTTAAACTAATAAAAACTTCCATTTTCATGGTTCCTTTATATTATTTAGTTCTATGTCCCTAAGAAAATAGAAATCTAATAAACTAATGAAACCTACAAGCTTAATAATATACTGCTATTGCCAAAGATATCTATATTTTGAAGGACAGGCTATGTCTTAATTTACTTAGAATAAATGATCTAACTATGTAAGGTACTCTGGATGGACTTCATCTGTGACATATTTAAGTACTCAGTTAATTGTAAATCTTATGACAGTGGTAGTAATAGAAAGCTGATTTATATAAATATTCTTCTAATTTGGGGAATTTGTATAATTTGGCAGATTCACTGGGGAAATGCATTTGGTGGCCAGGAGTGTCTTCTGGTTAGGGTTATAAACCACATCATATCATCCAGAAGAGATGGAAAGATGATTGACTTTAAGTGAATTCAAGTCTATAGGCAGTAGTAGACAGTCTATTGCTGTCCTTGTCCTAGCTATAAACTAATCAAGCCACTCACATGAGAGCTAGTACAAGGAAAAATTCATCAAAATAAGTTATGTGTTCATGTGCTTAAAGTCATCATGAATTAAAACTGATTCATGTTAGTAGATCATGTAGAAGCTATAATCAAATAATATTTTAGTGGGATTAAGGTCCTATAGTATTCGATCATTTGTCACAAATTTCCTTCTGTAAAATGAGGATTATAATAGCACCAAACCATACTGCTATTGTGAAAGTTAAATGAGTGAGTTGATGAATAGATCTGATGCGGTGATGAGATGGTCTCCCACATCCAAAGCTGGGATATATGGCTGGACAAAGGAAGTTTTTCTGCTTCCATCTCTCTCTCTCTCTCTCTCTCTCTCTCTCTCTCTCTCTTTCTGTGGTTTGTACCCTGCACTTAGCATTCTGAGGCATTTTCATGGTTAAGGGAAAGGAATACTGGACATTTGAAATGGATTTATGGATGCTATGCTATATTCACTGTTCATGTGCTTCCAATAGAATGTTCATTTTCCAGTGACTATGTTACTATATAGCCCCATCTTAATTAAAATAAAAACATATAAGAACTGCATCAGAAAGGTTTAAAATACTAGCACAAGAAAATAAGAAAGATCAGAAGACCAGGAAAATACAGTGTTTGTGTCTGGTTTCTGTTTTTGGTTTGTTTTTAGGTAATGAGCAACTTTTGATTATTTATTACCTGATTATCTTGAATTATAAATTACCAAGATGTTCCCCTGCCTCTATCTTGCTGTCTGCTTTTGAGCCATCTTACCAATAACCTAGGCTGCCAACATATGAGGTAGCCAGAGAAAACAGAAGGATCTAAAATGAATAATTTTTTTCTTTGCTTATGAGTATGGTTCAAAGTTGGAATGGATTAGGGTGAAATTTTGGTGAAAGTCAAATTTAAGGATTATTTTTATTTATTCATGCTACTGCTTTGTTCTATTACTATAATTACCTAATTAAAAGTTCATTGAACATAGTTTAGTGGCTCAAATAAGATCTAAACACTAGACCTAAATTTTTACAGATTAGAAACTTTCATATCATGATTTGGCTCATTTCTCATCACTTATATTCTCTGTACTAGTTTTCTACTCTATAAAATGAGGAAAATAATATCAACTTCATCTCTTAACGGAATATTATATATTAAAGAGTTTGTGAAAGGCACTGATGATATATCATCCCACAAGAGCAAATGATTATTCATTATGATGCTGCAATTTTTATTACAAATGCAGTGTGGGTAACTGCGGTGCTGACTTCAGTTTAGTTCAAATGTATATTCCTCCCAGGCATTGTAAGTAAGGGCTTTGTGCTGTGGTGTAAATACTTAATAGTTTACTTGCCTAGCATATGATCTCTAGTTTAGGAATTACAATGTGATTCTTCTTACTTTCTCATCACAGCTGCCTGAATACAAAGCACCCAATACTATGTTATGTTGATGATCCAAGAAAAAATTTGAAAGACTCAGAAGCATGGTTCCTGACTTACTGACAGTTATTAAAATCAAACCCTTTCTTTATCATCAAGTGTTCCACATATAAATGTGTTATAGCTGTCTATAAACCTATAAAATAGCCTATTAGCCTCTGCAATATGGAACAAGAGACAATCAGTAAGGCAACAGAACAACAGTAAGCTCACATGACATCAGCATGCTTAATAGATTTTAAATGAGAAGTCTTCTTACCTAGCATGCAAACACATTTGACATTCTGATCAGGGTTTTCAAACAAGATTTCGCCACACCTCTGAAATAGAAAGAAAGCCATCATTATTTTAAGATTTCCTATCAGGGTTCCCAAAGCAACACGTCCATGCAACCTGACATCACCATGACATTATTCTGCTCTTCATGTTTTCTTTAGTTGCCTGAGTCTAGGGACTTATGTCATGAGCAGAGACTTTCCTCGTAGTAAAATATTTGAGAGGTAAATTGGGGACAGACTGTTCCTGCATGCCTCATGCCCCTGCCTCAAGCTGATCTGTGTGATCCTATGAGGGGTCATGGCCAGAGACGCACCCAGTGTCCAACAGTTTCTATTTCAATGGAAGATACACAGTCTATTAGATCTAGTAATCTGAAGTTAATGACTCTCAAAATTGGCTCTTATTCAGTAGTGAAATTATCCTAAGCTACCTACTCTGCAATCTAGCAGACATTTTCAAGTACAAACCTAGGTGGCCTACACTTAACTCTCTGAACTTGGGAACTCTGAACTCTCTGCACAAATAAGGAAATGATGAAAAAGTGGCATTCATAATCCTTTTCCAGAAGCATCGACTCATGGAAATATCAACTCTCTTATCTACATCTCAGTTTTAACTTGCTTCTTAACATTTCTGTACAGGGCAAACTCCAGAGATACAATCAGTTATTTAAGAATAGACCACATTTATGCATATGATTGACAAATGGTTAGTACCTGAATGTATAAATAAATCCTCCAAATCAATAAGAAAATAACAAATAATCCAATGGAAAAGTGGATAAAGGACATAAGCAATTCATGGAAGAGGAAATCTGAATGGTCACTAACAGAGAGGATATATTCAACCATACTAATAATCAGGAACCAGCAAATGAAAGATAAAACGAAGCCTAATTTGAGCCCATTGATTTGGCAAAACTTAGAAATCTGGCAAAAACAAGTTTATCAAAAATGTAAAGAAGTGGATCTTCTCACACACTGTGGGTTGCAGTATAAAATGATGGAACCATTTTGGAGAAAAACTGGCAAAATCTTACTAGATTTCTACTTATTACTTACTAGATTTCATTCTTACTAAGTTGAAATGTGCATACACTATGACATAGCAGGTCAACTTCTAGACTGATAACTAGAGAAACTTTACTGTTCAGCTACAAAACAGATAAATGTTATTCATACATTGGAGTGCTACATGGCAGTTAAAAGTGAAAATGGGAGGAACACTCCCAAACTCATTCTATGAGGCCACCATCATGCTGATACCAAGACAAAGATGTCACAAAAAATGGAAACTACAGACCAATATCACTGATGAACACAGATGCAAAAATCCTCAACAAAATACTAGCAAACAGAATCCAACAGCACATTAAAAGGATAATACACCATGATCAACTGGGGTTTACCCCAGGAATGCAAGGATTCTTCAATACATGCAAATCAATCAACGTGATACACCATATTAACAAACTGAAGGAGAAAAACTATATGATCATCTCAATAGATGCAGAGAAAGCTTTCGACAAAATTCAACACCCATTTATGATAAAAACCCTCCAGAAAGCAGGCATAGAGGGAACTTATGCCATATATGACAAACCCACAGCCAACATGGTGGAAAACTGAAACCATTTCCACTAAGATCAGGAACAAGACAAGGTTGCCCACTCTCACCACTATTATTCAACATAGTTTTGGAAGTTTTAGCCACAGCAATCAGAGAAAAAAAAGAAATAAAAGGAATCCAAATCGGAAAAGAAGAAGTAAAGCTGTCACTGTTTCCAGATGACTTGATACTATACATAGAGAATCCTAAAGATGCTACCAGAAAACTACTAGAGCTAATCAATGAATTGGGTAAAGTAGCAGTATACAAAATTAATGCACAGAATTCTCTTGCAGTCCTATACACTAATGATGAAAAATCTGAAAGTGAAATTAAGAAAACACTCCCATTTACCACTGCAACAAAAAGAATAAAATACCTAGGAATAAACCTACCTAAGGAGACAAAAGACCTGTATGCAGAAAATTATAAGACACTGATGAAAGAAATTAAAGATGATACAAATAGATGGAGAGATACATCATGTTCTTGGATTGCAAGAATCAACATTGTGAAAATGACTCTACTACCCAAAGCAATCTACAGATTCAATGCAATCCCTATCAAACTACCAATGGCATTTTTCACAAAACTAGAACAAAAACCTTCACAATTTGTATGGAAACACAAAAGACCCCGAATACCAAAGCAATCTTGAGAAAGAAAAATGGAGCTGGAGGAATCAGGCTCCCAGACTTCAGACTATACTACAAAGCTACAGTAATCAAGACAATATGGTACTGGAACAAAAACAGAAATATAGATCAATGGAACAGGATAGAAAGCCCAGAGATAAACCCATGTACATATGGTCACCTTATCTTTGATAAAGGAGGCAAGAATATACAATAGAGAAAAGACAGCCCCTTCAATAAGTGATGCTGGGAAAATGGGAGAGGTACATGTAAAAGAATGAAATTAGAACACTCTGTAACACCATACACAAAAATAAACTCAAAATGGATTAAAGACCTAAATGGAAGGCCAGACACTATCAAACTCTTAGAGGAAAACACAGGCAGAACACTCTATGACATAAATCACAGCAAGATCCTTTGTGACCCACCTCCTAGAGAAATGGAAATAAAAATAAACAAATGGGACCTAATGAAACCTAAAAGCTTTTGCACAGCAAAGGAAACCATAAACAAGACAAAAATACAACCCTCAGAATGGGAGAAAATATTTGCAAATGAAGCAACTGACAAAGGATTAATCTCCAAAATTTACAAGCAGCTCATGCAGCTCAATATCAAAAAAACAAACAACCCAATCCAAAAATGGGCAGAAGACCTAAATAGACATTTCTCCAAAGAAGATATACAGATTGCCAACAAACACATGAAAGAATGCTCAACATCATTAATCATTAGAGAAATGCAAATCAAAACTACAATGCAATATCATTTCACACTGGTCAGAATGGCCACCATCAAAAAATCTACAAACAAGAAATGCTGGAGAGGGTGTGGAGAAAAGGGAACACTCTTGCACTGTTGGTGGGAATGTAAATTGATACAGCCACTATGGAGAACAGTATGGAGGTTCTTTAAAAAACTAAAAATAGAACTACCATATGACCCAGCAATCCCACTACTGGGCATATACCCTGAGAAAACCATAATGCAAAAAGAGTCATGTACCACAATGTTCATTGCAGCTCTATTTACAATAGCCAGGACATGGAAGCAACCTAAGTGTCCATCAATAGATGAATGGATAAAGAAGACATGGCACATATGTACAATGGAATATTACTCAGCCATAAAAAGGAACAAAATTGAGTTATTTGCAGTGAGGTGGACAGACCTAGAGTCTGTCATACAGAGTGAAGTAAGTCAGAAAGAGAAAGACAAATGCTGTATGCTAACATATATATATGGAATCTAAAAAAAAAAAGTCATGAAGAACCTAGGGACAAGACAGGAAAAAAGACACAGACCTACTAGAAAATGGACTTGAGGACACGGGAAGGGGGAAGGGTAAGCTGGGACAAAGTGAGAGAGTGGTAGTGTATATATGGACATATATACACTACCAAATGTAAAATAGATAGCTGGTGGGAAGCAGTTGCATAGCACAGGGAGATCAGCTCGGTGCTCTGTGACCAGCTGGAAGGGTGGGATAGGGAGGGAGATGCAAGAGGGAAGAGATATGGGGATACATGTATGTATATAACTGACTTACTTCGTTATAAAGCAGAAACTAACACACCATTGTAAAGCAATTATACTCCAATAAAAAAGTTTAAAAAAATAAAAATAAAAGTGAAAATGAATTAGGGCTACGTATAGTGTAAAAACATGTTATATGTATAATATACACATATAAATATATAATATTCAAATTGTAAAATATTTAAATCTTATAAAATATATAATGTTCAAATTATGTAAAATATATAATATTCAAATCATATAAAACATATATAATGTTTAGGGACTTCCCTGTTGGCACAGTGTTTAAGAATCCGTCTGCCAATGCAGGGGACACGGGTTCGATCCCTGGTCCGGGAAGACCCCACATGACGCGGAGCAACTAAGCCTGTGCGCCACAACTACTGAGCCTGTGCTCTAGAGCCCGGGAGCCACAACTACTGTATCCGTGTACCACAACTACTGAAGCCCATGTGCCTAGAGCCCGTGCTCCGCAACAAGAAAAGCCACTGCAATGAGAAGCCCGCGCACAGCAATGAAGATCCAACGCAGCCAGAAGTAAAATAAATTAATAAAAAAAAACAAACATATATAATGTTTATATCATGTAAAAGTATCATGCTAGGTAAAAAAAACTGTCTCCATGTTTTAATGAAGTTGAAAATATCTAAAAATAGCACATGTTGTTTATGGATACATTAATTTATAGAAAAAGCATAAAAACAGGCAATGAATAAGGAACATCAAATTCAGGGTGGGGGAAGATATACAGAGTAATGAAATGTTGGAGGGCATACAGGGGTTATCAACTTTTTCTATAATGATTTGTTCCTTATTCTCTGTTTTCTGTGCTTGAAATATTTCATAATAGGAAAGAATTGTCCCCATTTGCAACATTGTGAATATAAAAATGGCCCTTCATATTCTGCCTCTCTACACCCGTCTCCCATGGGCTTACGGATGTCATTTAGTACCAGGCTGGACTTGTTTTTACCATTTATTTCCTTGTCCTTAGAAAGACTGAGGGCATCTATTTTGGTCCATTTTCCTCTTTCTTTCACTGTTCACAACTTGGTTAATTCCACTCCCGTCAATCTTTATTGTACTTACACTTAAACTATTATAAGACAAAGTAATTTCTGGGCAAAACGATTCCCAGATGAAAGAATTCATATTCTTCACACCTAATGATGCAACCTCCTGGTACACAGAGGCACAGGTAGAGAGGAGAAAGGACGACCCAACTACATTCAAATCAACCCATTTCCTGAGATGAC